TGTCGTTGTCGTTGTCTTTAACTATCGTTGTCGTTGTTGTTGTTGTTGTTGTTGTTGTTGTCGTTGCCGTTGCCGTTGTGGTTGTTGTTGTTGTTGTTGTTGTTGTTGTTGTTGTTGTTGTACAGAAAAATCCCTTAGTATTTGCCCCCTTTGATTACCGTTGTAGCCGTTGTTGTTGTTGTTGTTGTTGTTGTTGTTGTTGTTGTTGTTGAACATTATTACTTCTAAAGAATAATTATTGTTGGGGCCCCTGGTGCACGACCCCCCCGCCGCGCCTAGGCCGCAGCCTCATTTTCATAATTTTCGTGAGGAAGTCTCAGGCAAAACGGGTTGGTCCGGATCCGGTTGTGTTGTTACGATCGGTTTTCCCTTGCAAAAAATAAGCTAAAGTGGACATTTCTTGTTCTAACATAACCAAACTTCAAGAATCCCTTGCAAAAAATAAGGTAAAGTGGACATTCGCGCGCGCAAGACGAAATCCTTCCAAAACCTTAGTTTTCGTAGCGATTTTAACATAAAAACATCAAAAAACCAATGGTTTTTCAAAAAAAATTGTCAAAATTTCATCCCGCGCGCTCTTGCGGATTCGTAGGAAACCCAACACTTTTTAAACATTTCTGTCAAACGGGCTTTTGCGAGCAACTTTTTCGAACTTCTGCAACAACGGTTGCGCACCTGCCAGGGCCATCATCCCTGTCAAATAATACCATGCGGGACACATTCGTTTTTTCTTCGCGCGCGCACGCCGTCGTCGTCGGCCGCGGGGCCCTGAATAGTAGCCACGGTCGTCCGCATGCCACGAAGTGAAGTGTCCGAACGTCATAGGGCGGGAAGCTGGGTGTGGGTGGTGGCGAAGAGTCGTTTGGAAATTTGGTAGAGCTTGAACCGGCCCCCCCACAAAGTGGGGGTATTGCCCGCCTCCTATGAAAACCCTGGCACTGGTGAGAACGGAGTGTCCCCACGTGCTAGTAATTTGTTGTTGTTGTTGTTGTTGTTGTTGTTGTTGTTGTTGTTGTTGTTGTTGTTGTTGTTGTGCTTGTTGATGTTGTGGCTGTTGTTGTTGTTGTTGGTGGTGGTGGTGGTGTTGTTGTTGTTGCTGTTGTTGTTGCTGCTGTTGCTGTTGTTGTTGCTGGTTGTTGTTGTTGTTGGTTTTGTTGATGTTGTTGCTGCTGCTGCTGCTGCTACCGTCGTTGTTTTTGCTGCGGTTATGGTTGATGTTGTTGCTGCTACTGCTGCGGTTGTTGTCGCTGCTGCTGCTGTGGTTGTTGTTGTTGTTGCTGTTGTTGAGCTGTCATTGCTGAAGCATACTTATTGTTAATCCCCTCCGGTTACCACTGTGCTTTTTCAATTGAAGTGCCCCCCCCCCCCCCCCCCTGGGCTCGCACCCGGCTTTTTACCAAGGAAAGTCACTCGGCTCAAGCTGGGTTGTTGGCCCCCGGGTTGCAACAATAGTGGCTCCCGATTGAGATTTCTTAACAATTTGGCCATGACCCCCGCTCCCGCCTGAGACTTTCTCGCATTTTACTGAGGATCGCGCTTTCGCGTGGGACCTCCTCACAACTTATGCAGGAATCGCTCGCTCGGCGCTCTGGAGTCGCGCTCTCGCTGGGGACGTGCTTACAGCCCACTCAAGCATCACGATCGTGAGATGGAATTCCCCGAAAGTTTGTGCTGTGCTCCCGACGCGCAGGCACCCAGGAGTCGCGCTCATGCTTAGGACTCCCTCACAGCTTCTCGGGAATCGGGATCTCGCTGGCCTTCGTGGCCCCGTTGCAGCCCTTCGTGGCCCCCTCGCTGCCCTTAGTGGAACCGTTGCAGCCCTTCGTGGCCCCCTCGCAGCCCTTCGTGGCCCCGTTGCAGCCCTTCGTAGCCCCCTCGCTGCCCTTTGTGGCCCCGTTGTACCCCTTCGTGGCCCCCTCGCTGCCCCTCGTGGCCTTGTTGCAGCCCTTCGTGGCCTCCGCTCGTTCGCGCCCGTCGTGGCCCCATATGCATGCACTGCTTGGCCCCCTCGCTGCCCTTCGTGGTACCCTCGCTGCCTTTCGTGGCCCCGTTGCAGCCCTTCGTGGCCCCCTCGCTGCCCTTCGTGGCCCTGTTTCAGCCTTTCATGGCCGCCTCCCTGCCCGTCGTGGTCCCACTGCACCCCTTTGTGGCCCCCTCGTTGCCCTTCGTGGCCCCGTTGCAGCTCTTCATGGCCCCCGCTCGTTGTCGCCCGTCGTGGCTCCATCTGCATGCGCTTCGTGGCCCCGCTGACGTCCTGGGTGGTCCCCTCGCTGCCTTTCGTGGCCCCGTTGCTGCCTTCAGTGGCCCCGTCCTTGCCTTCTGCGGCCCAGTCTACGTATGCCCTTCGTGGCCCTTGCTCGTTCGCACCCGTCGTGGTTCCATATGCATGCCTTTAGTGGCCCCGCTGTCGTCCTTTGTTGCCCCCTCGCTGCCCTACGTGGCCCAGTTGCTACCCTCAGTGGCATCGTCGTTGCCTTCTGGGGCTCCGCATTATCTGCCCTTCGTGGCCCCCGCTCGTTCGCGCCCGTGGTGGTCCCATATGCATGCCCTTCGTGGCCCCGCTGTCGCCCTTCGTGGCCCCCTCGCTGTCCTTCGTGGCCCCGTTACTACCCTCAGTGGCCCCGTCGTTGCCCTATGTGGTCCCGCCTTATCTGCCCTTCGCGGCCCCCGTTCGTTCGCGCCCTTCGTGGCCCCATACGCATGCCCTTCGTGGCCCCGTTGCAGCCCTTCGTGGCCTCCTTCTTGCCCTTTGTGGCCCCGTTGTCGCTCTCGCTCTCGCTTTCGCTCGTCGTCGTCGTCGTCGCCGTCGCCGCCGCCGTTGTTGTCGCCGTCGTCGTCGTCGTCGTCGTACCAAAGTTCCCGCCCGGTTTTTCCTTATGCTCAATTTCGAAATCGCGTTCTCGCGCGGGACATCCTCGCACGTTATGCGGGAATCGCGCTCCCGCGTGGGGCCCCCTCGCAAGTTCTTGAGACGCCGCGCCTTCGACGCTCGGGAAGCGCGCTTTCGCTCTGGCTTTTCGCAGGATTCACTTGGGAGTCGCGCTATCTCTCGAGCCTCCTCGCGATTCATGCAGGACTCGCGGTTCAGCAAGCCGCCTGCTCGACCTGGCCGCTTTGGCTTGCCTTCCCGACCCGCCCGTTAGGGCTACCCGCCCGATCAGCCCGTCTGGTTTTGCCAAGTGTGTTTTTGCTTTTATCCCCCCTCCTGCTACTCTCTCTCGTGCTCCATCCTTCTACCGCCCCCTTCCATCCGTCTGCTCTTCCCTTGCTTTTAGGGGCGGCACAAAGTACTCGTGCCTTGTAAGGAAGATCTACCCCAGAGGGGGGTACGATCGAAGACGAATGCGGGCATCGAGGTGTTGGGATATTCGCGGTGAGTGTCGCGCGAGCAGGTAAGAACCAACCGTTTTACAATGAATGTTGAGTTCTCACTTCTAAAGAGTAATTCGAGTCGATCCTCGCCGTCCGCTTCATCTTGTGCTTTTCAATTAAAGTGCTCCTGCCGCGGCTCGCACCCCGCTTTTTGACAAGCGAAGGTCTTCCCCCTCAAATTGCGCCCCTGGCCCTCGGTTTACAACAACAGCGGCTCCCGCTTGATACCTCTTCACAATTTATTTCAACCTCGTGCTCTTGCGCGGGACTTCCTCTCGCAGTATGCAGGAATCGCGCTCTCGCGAGGGAGCTCCTCGCAATTTATTCAGACGCCGCGCCCTCGGCGCTCAGGAACCGCGCTCTCGCTTTGGCTTTTCTCGCGGCTTACTTGGGACCCACGCTTCAGCAACCCGCCTGCTCAACCTGGCCGCCTTGGCCTGCCTCTCCTACCCGCCCGTTAGGGTCTATCCGCCCGTCTGGTTCTGCCACATGTTTTCTGTTCGTAACCCCGTTCCTGCTAAAGTCTCTCCTGCTCCATCCATCACGCTACCCCGTCTTTCCGTTCTGTTTTCCCTGTTGTGGTTGATGATGTTGATGATGAAGGTACGTAGGAGGAGGAATATAAGAAGCCGGCAGTGCAGTGTAGCCCAGCAGCTCTCTCCGGCGCCGGGCAGGGAGCCTCGCAGGAAATTGCTTGAGGTTCCAGCGGGTCCCGAGAGCGTTTTCCTACTTGTTCCCAATGCGCGTGCCGAAAGCGTTTCCGCAGCTCTTTGAAAGTTTCTCTGGAGCTCACGCGAAGCTTCTTTCTCGAGCTCGCATGCTCCCCATGCATCCTGTCCAGCGTCCCTGGGAGCGTCCTCAGATTAGTTTGTCGCACTTTGGACTGCGTCGCTATCCAGGTTTTGTTCGCCGCAAGTGCACGGCTGAAGTACGCATTGATGGAAAGGAGTGCCACTCTCGAGGGCACTCGAGTATCGAGCAATCGCAGAGTCGGAGGGACGGATTATGAGATGAGACGAGACCAGTCGCGAAGCGAGACTATATGAATTGCTTGCCCCAAGCCGCCATCTCAGCCTTGCTGAGAACTTTGGGCCAGAGGTCTCGGGAAATGTGGTCCAAATACCCCCGCCGTAAATTCGGTGGGCGGAACAGGTGGGGGCCTTACGGACAGGATTTACTCAGCAGGGAAAAATCACACAGACACAATTAATCGTCGACTCCCAGGAAAATATGGGAAACCCTCGTTCTGGCTGAGCCTTGCCGCCCTTGTCGTCGAGGCTCGTCCCAGCTCTGAACTCCGTCGTTTCTGCCGAAACCTCTATGGCTCCTCTACCCCGATGCTCCTGCTGTGGGGGAGGGGAGCCTGCATTTATTAGCTCTAGCCCAAGCGCCGGCGCTGCATACACGCATGTGAGTCACTTACAACATCCAATATTCCCAGAGCAAACCCTCCGGTAATCTTCAGAAATCACACTCATATTATTTTCTCTTTAAGCGTGACACGCAGCATGCGGGCGCTGGGCACAGCACCCAGTTCAACAGCAAAAAGACAGGCGTCGCTGCAAACAGCGCAACCCCCGTGCTGATCGCCAAAATGGCGTCGTCGTCGCACACGGCGTAGCAGTACATCACGTATCTGCCGAGCATGCTCCCTTGCTCGACTCACTGGCCTCCTCCTTTGTCATCCTCTCGTACATGTCGCGGAGGCGGATGGCCTTCATCTCGGCTTTGATCTTCTTCTCCTTGCTGGTACCCAAGGTCTTCTCGATCTCGCGATGCTCCTTCTCTCGCTTCCACCACGTCGTGTCCGTGTCCACTAGCAGCATGCCACACTGCAGGCACCGGAGCTTGTCCTTGTACTGGTTGCTTCCCTGTGTAGTTGTCACATTGTGCTCGCAGTCGCCTATGCGGTCTCGGGCCATCTGCTTCCCCTTGAGCTTGCCCTTGGCCTTGCTCGTGGACTCGTGCGTCTCGAACTCACTGCCTTTGGCTCCACGCTGCATGGAGGCGCAGGTCTTCTTTCCTCGACGGCACTCGTCGCAGTTCTTGACCACCAGCTCATACGCCTCCAGAACACCGTCCTCTATCACGTCGCCGAACTCGTCCGCGATCTTCTCGTATGATGCATGTCCGGTTCTTTCGTGTAGCGCGCGAGCCTTCAGCATCTCCTTCTTCGTCGGTGTAGTAGGTTCCTTGCGCCGGTGCAGTACCTTCTGCCATGTCCCTGCTTCCTGGTCATCATCATCCTCGTCATCAGGTACAGCAGGTAGGTCATCGGAACGCGCAGAGGTAGATGCCCGATGTGGCATCTTGCGCGTCCTCGGTCCGCACTCGCACTGGTCCAGCGTCATCCGGCACAAGGCGCACACACCGTCACCGTCGCAGCTGCAGCGGTGCCTGACTTGATCTCCTCAGACTCGGCACCCGCAGCGTCCATGATGTAGATCTCCGCGACGTTGGTGCTACCCCACTTCGCGTTCTCGTCCGACTCCACGTGCGCACCAAGCTCCTCAGTGACGCCTAGCTCCTTCTGGGGGTCGTCATCGTTCGTCAACTTCGGCTTCTTGATGGTGTGCTTCTCTGTGAAGTCCTTCTCGTAGCGCTCGAGGGCCGCCTTGGTCGGTGCGTAGATCGTCAACAGCTTTCGCACCTGGGTCAGGATCCTCCGACGCTTCGTCACCTGGTCCAAGCCAGACCAGTCGACCATGTCCTCGAGCTTCTCGTAGTAGACATCGTCCTCGCGCTGCCCGAGCATCATCTGCCAACGAAGGTAGGGCTTCGGAGTAGGCTGAGCCACATGCGCATTGTACCTCACATCCGCAATGCAGTTCTCGAAGTAGGTGTAGTCCTCGTGAACAAAGAGCTGATCAGCAGGTCACTGCCTCTTGGGATACTTCGAGCGATAGTATTCACCCCTGCGTCCTTTAAGCTCCATCCTCTGCTTGGCTATGATCTGGTCCGCCATGAGATCCTCTGTCAGCCGGTACTCACCGGTTTGGAGCACGTACCTCATGTAGTCGCCAGCGCGGGCGTCGTGCTTGGTTAGGCAGTCGGCGAGCATCTGCTTCGTGCTCACCCACTTGCTCACCACGTTGTTAAACTCCAGATCGTTCCTGAGCGACTCGATGTCGATCAGCAGCCGTTTCTCGGAGGGCACCGTCGCTCGCTTCTGGAGCAGGTCGTAGAGCGACTTACAGTCCGTGACTTTCATCTTGATCGCCTTCACGTCGTCCATGTGGGTCTGGTAACTTAGTCCGTAGTGCAGCTTCACCAGGTGCTGCCTCAGCATGTCGCCACTCTCGACCGCCTCCAGCGCCGCCATCGTCTCGGCCGCCAGGGTACTGCGCACCACCCGCTTGATACGGTGCGATCGCCACAACATGGGAGTGATCTTGGCCGGCCTCCCGCGAAGGAATTGATCGTCCTTTTTGTCTGCGAGCAGGATGACCAGGCCCGCCTGACTCGCGGTCTTCGTCTTGCCCACGTTGCCGTGGCTCGAGTCTCCAACCGCCACCACGATCTCGTCGTAAATGTTGATATTCTGGAAAGTGATGTCCACATGGTCCGTCTTGGCGTCGCTCACCAGCTTGTTGAAGTCCAGCAAGTCCTGAACCTTCAGGTCGCTGTCGTGAGCCCTCGCTTGACTCTCCACCAGTCGAAATCCCAAGTCCATGCGGGTAGATCGCACCAGCCACTGAATCTGGCCGTTGCCGCTGTGGAGCATCGCCCTCTCCTCGGGTGTAGCCTTCGCTTCCCTGTCCTTGCGGCGCTCGTTGGAGATCGGAATCTTCTCGATGCTCTCGGTATACTCCCTCTGGCTGCAGGTGATGGTGTCATCATCGCTCTGCTTGAGGAATCTCCCGCAGTGGTGGAAACCGGTCTTCGCCATCTGCCACTTGCCGTAGCAGTGCATCTTCCTCAGCTTGGTCACCTGGTTAGCGAAGAACTCGGGCGAGCCCGCTACCAAATCGTCGTCCACGTGCGTCCCGATCAGGCCGATCAGCTTCTCATTCTTGTCGTGGAAGATGAAGAGAGCCGGGCGCAACTTCGATCTCGACGCTCCTGAGAGAGACAGTATGGTGTCGCGATGCCCCTCATGCCACAACAGAGGTGCATCATTCAGCCCGTAGGTCCCCTTCTTCGCTCTCAGCACCGTCCCTTCTGGAACGGCTGGCCAGCCCAGCGCGGAAATACACGCGTCGAGAGCTGTCGAGGTACTTCCCGTTCAGAAATGCCGAGTCGATGTCGCCCTGTTCAAATCTCCAAACCGACAGGCTAGCGGCCTCTTGCAGGATCAGCGCCGTGGCCGTGTCCGTCAGAGTGGGGGCGTTGGTCTTCAACTCGCCAGCGAGCAGCTGCTTGTCCTTGTATCCTGGGACAATGTCCCGGGATTTCGCCTTGAGCGAGTGCTGCTCGTACGACAGGTTGCCCCTCGTCGCCTCGTTCTTGTCCGCGCGGGCCGCCTCATGGGCAGGGTGGCCGTCTTGTCCACCCCCGCGAGCTCCTCGGTCGGCCAGTCCACTGCATCGTACTCGGCCCACTTGCGCCACTCCTCCAGGTCGCTCGCGTCGAAAGCCGCCTTCCACTCCTGTGGGGTGCTGCGGATCTCCCGACCCTTCTTGGGAGTGACCTGCTTCGTCGTCGTGTCGGTCCTCCGGGACAAACGCGCCCCTCTGGCGGTTCCTGACCTTGACGAAGAGCGCTTCCTGATCCATCGGGTCGTCCAGTACCTTCGGAAAGCGCATGGAGCTGCCCTTGAGAGCCTCGCGTCGTAGTCGTAGACGTTCGCAATCTGCCCCCTGGTCGTCGGGAGGTGTTCGCTTGAAGCTGAGTCGTGGTGCAGGTTCTGGTTGCTCAGCTCGATCTGGTTGCTGTTGCTGTTGATGCGGAGTACCTGGCGCAGCCGTCACGTCCAGGTCCATGGAGTGCCCCTGCCCAGCTGCCGCAGCAGGTGGGTCTGTAGCTTGTTCTGGGGGAACTGGTCCTCCTCCGGGTAGTGGTGGTACTTCAGGTAGGTCTCCAGGTGCAGGTACGTCCTCCTCCTCGCGTTCCTTCTTCGGCGTCGCCTCGACCACTGGCCGTGGCGGTGGTGGAGCCGGCTCGGCGCGCGGTGCCTTGGCCGTAGGCGTGTCGATCACACCGTCCTCGTGGTCCGAGCCCTTCTCGCTTCTCTCGCGGCGCACGCCCGCCTTGTCGCTCCCGTCTGGCCCAGGTCCACGCTCATCAATGAACCCCTTCTGGAGAGTAGGTCCTCCGCGCCAGTGAGAGAGCTGCCTGACCAGGTCATCGTTCTCCACCAACTCCGCCTCGCTCCGGGAGGCGTGCCTCGCCTGCTCCGGCGTCGCGAGCACCGGCACCCCGAGGTACTGAGGTGCAGCCTCGTGTGGCCTTCGGTCGCCAACGCGATCGCTGGTCCCCGCCAGCCGTGTTCGCCTTGGAGCCTCTTCGACTTCACGTGCTTCACCTCGCGCCAGTAGAACACCAGCTGGCCCGGCACGAAGGGTTCGCGCGGCGGGCGAACTCGGCTAACCATGGCCCTCCTGACGGCGTCGTCGCTGTCCAGCTCGAAGAACGCCCGGTTCGCCGCTGCACGTATCTGCTCTGCTCTCCTCGGGCCCTCCTCGAAGAGAGCCGCGCTCTGTGATGCCAGCTGCCGCTGGTCGCCCTCCATCGCCTCGATCAGCGAAGCCAGGATGCCAGGCGACCGGCCCAGCACGTATTGGTAAGGGGTGAAGCCATTCCGCCGAATGCGGTTGCTGCACGTACTCGCTATCACCGATATCCACACATGCGGATCGTCGTCCTTGGCGAGCTGCACGTCGCGGTTCAGGCGCTGGAAGTGATCCTTGAAGAAGTCGATCGCTCGCTCCACTCGGCCCTCGAGCTGGGGCGCCTCTGCTGGGGCCGGCCTCATCAGGATGGTGTACTTATCTCCGATCTCCGTAAACCGCTTCGTGATGTGACCCTTGGCCGCGTCGTAGTACAGCACCTTGGGTGGTCCAGCCCACGATGGCTGGCCTTGCGAAAAACATCGCAGGCTCTCCTCGCCGGTGATGGACCTCACTGCAGTGGTAGGGATGATTACCTGGAAGCCCGACGCGTCGTAGATCACCATAACCATCAGTCGGGTCCCGTCTGCAAGTATCACCTCGGCCTCGTCTAAGAACACGTTCTCGTTGAATTGCGTCGAGAGCTTCAGGTTCGAGCCTCTCACCGTGGTCGGCCTGCCGAGCTCCTTGCACACGCCGCAGTCCAGCTTGTCAACCACATCCAGCACTTGCTGTGACGCTTCGTAGGGCTTCAGTCGCCGCTTCAGTGCGTGAGCAGAAGGATGGCTCAGGTTAAGGTGGAGCTTCTTGAGAGCGCCCCACTGGGCCGTGGTGATGTCCGAAGGCTTATCCCCGAAACTCGCCCTCGTGTTGTAGGTCTCGATGTGCCGTGTCAGCTTCGCGATCATCTGGAGTAAAAGTATTGGGCTTGCTCCCGTGACATGCACCGTCGCAGGGAAGGACGTCTGCACCTTCGGCTCCTTCACATAGATTGCGATCACCGTGTCAGAGGGGAACCGCTTGACCAGCTTGATCGTCACGAAGCCCGGGTCGCCCGCGTAGGCGTCGCTGTAATCTGCCAATACGCCCTCGCTGGAGTACATCGCGCAGATGCGCCGCACTGCCCCGCGAGGGGGCGGAACCTCCTCGTCACCCGTCAGCGCGCGCACGTCGATCAGGTCTTTCCTCAGCTTGAAAGCCTTGGCCACTGCGTTCACGATCTGCTTGCTCGGGGACCTCGCCGTGCCGCTCCCGATGCCCATCTCCTGCGGGCTTGTACGTCGTGCCAGCTCGTGCGTGCCGGCGCCCGCCAGAGCCTTGCCCAGGTCGTCCGGCCAGGCGCCCGTTCGTGCCAGTGCCGGGCTCCGGCCGACCATGTCGGCGTGCTTGTGGCTCCCGTCGGACCTGCGCTTGAGCCACCCCAGGGAAGCACGAACCGTTGGGCACCATCATGCACGTCGGCTTGCGAATCGGGTCGCCGTAGTGGTCCACGAGCCCGTGCATGCACTGGTGCAGCGTGACCGTCTCGTAGAGTGGCGGCTTGTTCCCTTGCCAGCTCAGCAGGTCCACGATCAGAACTTCCCGCCACGCCCGGCTGGTGAGGGGATTCTCGCCGATGCCGATCCGTCCTCCTTCAGCCTGAATCTTGAGCACCTCCGCCGAAAAGTCAATCAGCGGCCGAAGCTCCTGGATGAGGTCGTCCACCCTGTCGCCCATGCCTTGAGCACGCTGTAACTCTTGCATTTTCGTATGGGTGGTACACGGGAATGCGACCGAAACCCTCCATGGCTTGAAGGTCCTGATCGAAAACAGGAAATCTGATCGCGCCCGAGGGTCGTTAAAGTTCACGCCGACCGACATGTCCGAGGGGGTCGCATTTCGCGTGACCACCCATCGAAGCTACATGAGTAAAGCTAGCCTCCTTCGCGAACAACTCCCAGAGAAACGTCTCGTTGTTGTCGCGCAGCACGTCGAATATAACCGCATACTCCTTCATGAGCTTGTCGATCCGCTTGAGCGTACCCTTCTTGAAGATCCCCTTGTTACCGTTCTTCGTTGCCTCCTGGACCCGCCGATCGGCGTCGTCCTTGACCCTGAAGTCTGGCTTGGACACCTGCAGCGTCTCCGCGACCAGGAAAACATCCGGCTCGACGTTCTCGACGTTGACGCGGAACTTCTCGAAGAGGGTCTCCGCCTCGTACGACTCCAGGTCGTAGTCGAAGATGTCGATGCTCGCGTGGCCGCCAGGAAGATTCACAAGCTCCTTGTCGTACACCCCGAGCTCCTGGAAGTCGGCCCACTGGCCGTCCTCGCGCAGGTAAAGGTTCGTCTTCCAGTCCGCCAGGTTCTTCTTGCTCGTCAGGCCAATCATGTCGCCGGGGATCTCGAAGTACTCCTGCAGGACATGTTTCTTGCCAATACCGATCGGGATGATCCACTTTTGCTTCGCCTCACGTCGTGCGCCGCCGAGTCCCTTGAACTTCTGGCTCGCCTCGACGATTATGGGCCTCGGACCGTACTTCTCGAGCTCCGCCGCGATCTTATCCAGCCAGCCGCGCCCTGCCATCGCCACGGAGGCGCCGCTGTCCACCAGGGTAGCTGGCACGATCGTGCTTGAGATCATTGCGTCCACCTCTGGCACTTCCGGTAGGACCGGGTCGCTCTCCACGTTGACCATCATGATGTCTTGCTCGACTGGCTCCTGGAACTTCTCCGTCGCGAGCTCCGGGTCCTGGACGTCCTTCTGGTGGAACATGTCTGGCATGACGCACGCCAGCGTGGTCGTCGCCCAGAAACCCAGCCGTCGTGGACGAGATTGAGCCTTCGAGGTCTTGCCGCGGCCCTTGACTGGCCTCGGAGGTCGTGGCGTCGGGCAGTCCGGTGCAGCGTGGTCCATTCTTCCGCAGTTGGTGCACCTCTTGTCCTTGGTCTTGCCTTTGCCGCCGTCCTTGCCCTTGCCGCCTTTGCCACCTTTCCCGGCTGCCGTGCCGCCGGCCGCCGCGCTCTCGTCCACTACGCCATCGATTCGTCCCTTGAAAAAGCCTCGAGCCGCCCGGATCTTGTTCATCTTAAGCCTGCTCTCGCGCAGCGTGACGAGGGCCTGCTGGTACTCGTCGTCCTCGCTAGCGAGGTAGACGTCGGTGTCGTCCTCGATGTAGAACAGGTCGCTGCTGCCCCAGCTGTCGTCGCCATCCTCCGCGAGCGCGTAGACACCGTACTCTTCGTCCCACTCGTGCCAGTAGCCGTCGTCGTCCTGGACCCAGTACCCGTCGTGCTCGACGTTCTGGTCTTCGTCGTCCGGGTCGCGCTCGCCGTCATTGTAGTTCGCCCATCGCCAGCTCGTTCGCGATCCTTGTCGATCCCGGTGCCGACCTCCACCTCGTGGGAAGAGGTTTTTCAGCGTCGTGCTAATCTTCTGGAAGTTGAAGGTCTCATCTGCCCGTGCTATCACTAGATTGCGTTCGTCCATGTCCAGTCCGCTTCTCTTCAGCGCGTGGTACCCTAGCTCGTTCGCGCTGATCTTCGTGTCTGGGTCTACTTCCTCGAGATTGCGCTTCGCCACCTCCATTGCCGTGCAGAACGCTGCCATCGGCTCTTCGCCCTTCTTCTCGAAGTGTGCCTGGTCGAAGAAATCGTCGAACGGCTTCGGCAGCTCCCTGAAACTGCTCTTGGCGAAGCGCTGCTCTTTGAGGAATCTCAGTAGTGTCTGGGCGCCGTCCTCCGTCGCGTAGTCCTTCGGGTTCGTCTGTTTGATCAGCACGCTAATGGAGTTGTCCGCGCCCAGCAGGTTCCTATACAGCTTCGGACCGAGCGCCTGTTTCGACTCCTTACTCTCGCAGCTCAGCTCCGCCGCTTGAACTGCCCTCTTGTATCTGATGAAATCCTTCAACGTTTCTCCCTTCAGCACCGGTATCTTCGGGTCCACCGCACTGTTGTGCTCTGCCATGTTCGTAGTCTGCGAGATGGCCAGTCTCTCTTCTCTCTCTGTCCGCTCTTGGAGCTTTGGGGCCAACCACAGGCTCCGCTACCAACCTCGTTCTGGCTGAGCCTTGCCCTCGAAGATCACTCCGTCGTCGAGGCTCGTCCCAGCTCTGAACTCCGTCGTTTCTGCCGAAACCTGCATGGCTCCTCTACCCTGATGCTCCTGCTGTGGGGGGGGAGGGCCTGCATTTAGCAGCTCGAACCCAAGCGCTGGCGCTGCATACACGCATGTTAGTCACTTGCAACATCCTATATATCCAGAGCAAGCCCTTCAGAAATCTTCAGAACTCACAGGAAATATTGGAAATGGGGGGAACGACGAAAACCCAGAACATCTGGAAAACATGGGGAATCCTATTACATGTGCGTACTTACTTGTGTGTCCTTCACACCCGCACGCCCGCGCGCACTCGCACGCCCGCACACTCGCATACTCGCGCACGCACACGCGCGCGCACACGCGCGCACACACAGCACACACACAACACACAACACACACAAACAACACAGCACAACAACGCAGCACAACGCAACACACAAACAACACACCACAGCACAACACAACACAACACACACACACCACTGCACAACGCAACACACCAACACACGCAACACGCAACTCACAATCTTCACAGCACAACAACACAGCACAAGACAACCCACACCATACCACAACACAACACAACACACCACTACAACACAAACCCAACACAACACAACACAATACAACACAACACAACACAGCACACAACACACACGCGCGCACACAAATACACGCACACACGCACATTCGCCACACATACCACTCACACAGCACACACAAACACAACCACACAAGCACGCAATCAAGCAAGCACGCGAACACGCAAACACGTAAACACGCAGACACCCAAACGCGCAAACGCGCAAACGCGCACACTCACACGCACACGCTCACGCGCACGCACACGCACACGCACACTCACACGCACACTCACACGCACACTCACACGTACACGAACACGCATACACACGCACACACTCACACACGCACACATGCACACGCGCATATGATTTGTGCCTGCACGGTATATCTTTCCTCTTAGTGTTTCTGCAGTTCTTTTCTCGAGCCGCAGGCCTGCATGGCCTGGGGTAGCCCTCATTTCTCTGCTTTCGCACGTGAGCTTCTGGCGGCATCGGCGGGCGGGTGGCTCGCGCGAGCCCCGGCGCCAGCGGCGCCGCTCTGCGTCTGCGAGCCACGGCTCGAGTGCCCTGCGTGCTCGCTGGGCTGTGCGCCGTGCCCAGAGCGCGCGGCGGAGTGCCCGGCGGTGGTGCGCCAGTGCACGCCGGCGGGGCTTGCGGCGGCGGAGTGCCCAGCGGCCTCGGCGCCTTGTGGCGGGGGCTGGTCGCTCTCGCTGGCCTTCAGCGGCTGGGGCCTGCTGCCGCTCGCGTTCTTCGCAGGCCGGCTGACGTCCGGCTGCCGGCGGCCAGGGCGCCGCCCGAGAGCGCCGCAGCCGGCGCTGGAGGCGGGCGGACCTGCCGCCCCCGCGCTCGGCCTGCCCGAGCGGGCCACCTCCTCGTCGCTGTCTGTGTCCTCGGGCTCGGCTGCCTGGGACCCAGCGACGGTCGAGCCATAGCCCTGGCGTTCGCGGAGGGCCCGCTGACGGGCTTAACGGTGCTAGGCCGGCATCGTGGCGAGAGCACCGGATATCCACGAGACTATGGTGGCCATCAACTTCGACGACGACGATCATTTCAGATGGCACCTGCGCGTCCTGGCGCATCGTCTGGGCGACCTCCGATGGATCGCGTTCTCGCCGGACCTGGAGGTGCTCGTCCTCGACCTCTCGCGGCACCTCGTGGTGCCGATCGCCCGTGCTGCTCCGTGCCCTGGGCGCGTGGCCCGCGACATCTACACGGTCGACCAGTTCCACGAGGCGGCGCTGCAGACGGCCCGCCAGGAAGCGGCGGCCCTCGCGGACGTGCTCCGCCCAGCGGGAGCTGGAGTGGCGGGACCTGCAGCGGCGGCCGTCACGCTGACGATGGAGTGAAGGTTCGCGGACACGGCGTACGATAAGTTCTGGGAGATCGTGCCAGTGGAGATCACGCGGAATGCTCTCAGGATGATGATCAAGGGCAGCGCGGGCCTGGCCGAGGTCGAGGGAAACGGGGATCGGTTGTGGACCTATGCGGAGCGGGTCGGCAACCAGGATGTGGAGGAGTGGCGCGAGGAGAAGACCAGCGGCCGCGGGCGGGGCGCCCGCATCCCCCCCGTCCAGCGGGACCTGGGCAGGGCCCGCTTCGCCAAGCTCAAGGATGCGCTGGCAGAGATGACTTTCTTGGAGGAGACCCCTCCAGCCGACTGGCCGTTCGAGGGCCCGCAGGCGATCAAGGAGGTGCTGGTCGCGGCCCGCGCCGCGAACGAGGACCTGATTGGCTTCCACGAGCACTGGATCAGATCCTCGGGCTTCAACCCCGACCACCCAGTGGCGCTCGAACACAGGGACCTGCTCGCGGTGCTGCACCACCTGGTCGCCTTCGACCAGTTGAGCGCCGGCCAGCTAGTGGGCGCGGAGATGTGTGCACGTCTGCTTCTCCAGGTCCACCAAGCGGTGGCCCGCTCGCCCAAGAACCCCGTGTTTCAGGGCACTTTACTCATGGTGATGAGCTCGCTGGACTCCACTGGCGGCGTCCTCACGGGGAAGTTCGCGAGGTGGGCGGCGGACGAGCAAGAGTCGCGGGCCTTCACCATGAAGCAGCAGAGGCTACACCAGGAGGAGGAGGACAAACGCAAGGGACCCTCGGACAAGGACCCCAAAGGCGGCAAAGAGAAGGACAAGTGACTGAGGCCGCCTGCTCCAGTCGCTCGGGGCTGGAGCGGACCCTGTCATCATGGTGGTCGGTGCTGGTCTTTTTCCGCTGCCCCTACGCCTTCCCGAGGCGGCGGAAAGTGGAGGTGGTGCTCGCCACCTGGCCCGGCGGCGGCGCCGGCAGGCGCGATCTGAAGAGCTGGTGGAGGGGGCCGTGGCGTCTCTCAACGCCTTGGCTAGCTTCCAGCCGGGACGGGCGCTCGTGCTTGAGTTGCCCATCCGCATTTCTTCCCAGAACATCGCCGCCGCGCAGGGCGGGATGCTCAACAACATCGGACGCGCTGTGGCGCACTCCCCCCCCCACACCGGACTTCGACGCCGAGGTTCCGCAGGGGGCTCTTCCAGTGCAAGTCCATCTACGACGTGGATGACGATCGCTCTGTGGCGGCGTGCGACCCGGACACGTTGTCGGTCCTGCATCGGTCTGGTGCTCCCGTTGATGCCCTGGACCTTGTGGGTGACGAGTGCCGTCCGTACCTCGAGGGCCCCGACTCCCTCATCGTGCTGCCGCCGGAGGAGCTGGCCTCGATCGTGGACCCCGTGGTGCCGCACTGGGACCCCGAGCTCGGCGGCTCCCTGGAGGCCCGCCGGGACTTTGTGCGCCGTCTCGACCGGGTGGGCCTCGTCTCGTGGAGGAGATGGGAGCGCTGCCGGGTCGGGGCATTCTTCGTCAAGAAGAAGGACGACGCGACCAGGCTCGTCCTGGAGTGCAGGCCGACCAACCAGCTCCACAGGCGGCCGCCGAAGTCCGACCTCGCCACGCCGGGTGCGCTCTCCAACCTCGTGCTGTCGGAGGAGTGGTGCCGACTCTCTGCGGGGGACCTACCCGCGTGCGGTCAAGGCGCCGAGGGCATCGACGTGCTCGACCTCTCGTGTGCGGGCATGGACCTCAAGGATGGGTTCTACCAGTTCCGCGCGGACAGGGTCGCGTCGTGGTTCTCGTTGGGCGTGTCGTCGGCGGCCTCCGACATCGGTGTCATTGAGGTTTACGATGGCGATCAGCTCTCCGTCGTCCCCGTGGAGGGTCACGAGCTCCTCTGGGCGTGTCTTGGAGGCTTGCTGATGGGTTGGAGAGCTGGGCGATGTTCTTCTGCCGCGGCAGCCTGGAGGCGGCATCGCGCCGAGCGCTGCGGCGGCTGGGGCTCCCCGAGGTCACGCTCAAGGACAGGGGGCCTCCACCGCCTTTCGGCAGGAGCGCCGCCATCGTCGCCCCCTACGTCGACAACGGCAACATCATCGGCGGCAGCCCCGAGGCCGCGCTCAGGAGGCTCTTCCACGCACTGCGGGAGGAGCTCGCCGGCATCGGCTTCCTGCTCCACGAGGAGGCTGAGCCCGCCTCGGATTACGAGCTCGTCGGCCGACAGATCCGAGGGCGACGGCGCTGCCTCATCCCGAGGCCGCGGCGGATGTGGCGGCTGTGGCTGGCCCTGGATGAGGTTTGCCAGGTCCGGCATATCTCGCCCGCCCAGCTGCGCCGGATCATCGGCCACCTGGTGGGCCACTTCAGCGCCAGGAGGGAGCTCCTCAGCTGCCTGCGCTCGGTCTGCCAGTTCGTGGGCGACGGGCTGGGGCCGCCGCGCGTGCTGGACAACGCCGTGGTCGTGGAGCTGCGGGTGGCACAGGGCCTTCTGGCTCTGGCGGTGTCGGAGCTCGGGAGAGACATTGCCACCGTGGTGCACTGCTCGGACTCTAGCACGCGGGGCTTCGCGCTCCACGTCGCGGACACTGACCCGCGCGAGGCCTGGGCCGCTGCCCAGTACCATGAGAGGTGAAGGTTCAAGGATCTCGAGGCGGACCCGCCACCACCACCTGATGATCGACGAGATGAACTGCGAGGCGCGCTGGCGCCTGGCGCCGTGGGCGCGGTGCTGACCGGCGCCTTCACAGCATGCGCTTAGGGCCGCCTCCTGGCCGACCCGCCGCCGTCGGGTCCCGCCGCCCTCGCCGTGGTCGAGCCGCGCCTCGTCGAGGTCGTCGGCCGCGTGCCCCGGCTGGAGCCGAGCTGGGGTGTACCTGGCCGCTGGCGGGCCGCGGCGGTGGGCGCCTGGAGGAAGCCTGACAAGATCCACGACCTCGAGGCCCGAGCAGCTCTCATGGGCCTCGAGGATTTCTGCAA